GGAGCAGGCGTGGGTGCGGGGCTAGGTGCTGGCTTCGGTGTTTGCTTCCATATATATGTGGTCGAATGGCGGCGATTAGTGGGCGATTTTTCTTGAGGTACTTGGCTGTGAAGCATATGGGATTGGGGCATATATACTCATATAATGATTATGCACTCATTAATCAAGGGAGTGTGCTTACAGGGGAGATAGGCGGGAGAAGTTAACAGTGCGGCAGTCGAGTCAACAAAGAAGAGTTGGCTTGAGGGAGGTTTTAGAATGTCTAGGCTTCTACAAGGCTGGGTAGGTCGTTTGCGGGTATGAGACACAATTTAACAATGGGTCGTGTTAGAGTGCCGTTTCGAGTGCGCACGTCGACTAGGGACACGATATCGAACCGAAAGTATCGATATGGTACTCATTTAAAGTATCGCTTTAAAAATATCGGGTACCCGTTATTATCGGAATAAAAAGACTCGATATTCCAAATATCGATACCAAAAACCAAAAAATTTATCTGAATATAGGTCTCGCATATAGGCCGCTGGGTGGAAGTGGTTAGAAGTGCGCAAACCTTGAAAATGAAAAACAGCTTCCCATAAAATACAATCGCCGTTCAGAGTCGACATAAAATTGTAGACACACCCCCTGTGTGCCACAACATTAAGGCCCACGCGACAAATCGGAGGAGAAGTTCGGCCAAACACTAACATATTGTGTAAGCGCCGGACTTTATTATTATTACAACACGTAGATATTGAGGTGTTGACTTAAACACCGAGGCCGCGGGTTCAAATCCCACCACATGCAATCCTAACCATAGTACAAATTTCTGGACTTTAAAGCCCAATTTATATCGGGAGGAATTGTTACAGGCCAACCTTATACGCGTGCGTAAAAAGCTAACTCAAATTCCAAGATTTGTCTTGCGTGACATTTCGATTTGACATTTATGCTCAATTGGCATTTTGGCGCGACTATGAATTCAAAATTTTTGTCAGCAAACTTCTGTAAATTTGACAGGAATGCAACTCTGAGAAATCACGCACGCAAATTGGTTTGGATTTATCAAATGGGAAAAACTTGCGTGCGTGCGTATAAAAACTCTCGCCGGTAATATTAGATTGAGCTGTTAATAACATTATCCTTCACTGAGAAAAAAATCGCGTTGTAAGAAAAAAAATTTTGTATTACCGTTTAAAAATGTTCGTATTTAAATCAAGTGAAAAAGTCTTAACAAAATGGATTTTTCCATTATACATACACTACGTACATATAATGGAAATAAATATTCAATTCAAATACTCCCGTATTAAAATGAAGCATTTTTCACTACACGGATGGCGTTTTGCACGTCTCGGATGCTTTTTCATATGTAATTAAGAAAGTATATGTATACAAAGCATGCACAACGGTGACAACACATACACACATACATGGTATGAAATAATGCACTAATCGCGCGCTGTGATGTTGATTCAAACTCAACATTTGAAAACACTTTTACATGTATGGCTATAGCTGAGTGTGCAAAGACGCTTGATGCAATTAGTTGCGACCAAGAAGGTCCGGGTTCAGTTCTCATCATACGGAACATAAAATTAATTTTTTTTCTTCTTAATTACGAAACAGCGTCTGTGTACTTCACAACCACATATTTTATAACGTATATACTCAAATTTAAAACGAGTTGGGTTGGTGCTCTTTCATATGCGTATTTTTTTTCAATTTAGCACGTTTTTTTTTCTAAAATTTTTTTCCCTCAGTGTTGGAATGTGAGTTTATGACATTCGATACGATACTAGGGTTCTGGTACTCGATTCCAAAAAATATCGTTTTAAAACTATCGAGCAGAAAATATCGGTATCGAATGCAGAAAATATCGATATGGTATCGTATCGTATCGAAATTCGTGTCCCTAACGTCGACTACCCTAATATGACCGTCTTTGCCGTAATGTGTTTTTACTACACGGCCTGGGCGCCATTCAGTGGGGGGTAGATTATCGTCCTTTATGAGGACACATTGATCCACGACCGGCTCAACTTGTCTGTTTTTCCATTTATACCTTTTTTGGAGACTGAATTCGTGATGCAAGACCTTCACCTTTTCCCACCTGTTAACTAACGATAGATCTTGGTGGTTCACTTCTGGGAGTGATAAGAGTGAGGTGCCACGTAGAAAGTGGCCAGGAGTAAGCGCCGTGATTTCAGTTGGATCTTGGGAAAGGGATGCGATTGGCCTGGAATTTAAAACGGCTTCTATTCTAATTAAGAGAGTAGTAAACTCTTCGAGGGTAAATTGGTTTTTTTGAGATGGAGTTTAAAACTTTTAACCGCGGATACCCACAAACCACCCATATGAGGCGCACTGGGGGGAATAAACTGCCAGTTGATCCCCTGAGGTGAATATTTCTGAACGACTTCTTGTGACACTTCTTTCATAAAGTCTATAAATTCTTTCTCCGTTGCTCTTTTGGCTCCTACAAAGGTTGTGCCATTATCGCTCATGATTTTGGCCGGGTAGCCACGGCGTCCAACAAAATGAGCAAATGCAGCTAGAAAAGCGTTTGTAGTGAGATCAGAGCACAGCTCCAGGTGGACGGCCTTTGTCGTAAAGCATACAAAGACGGCGACGTAGCCCTTTACTAAGGTGTGTGATGTTAGCATTGAGGCTTTTATTTGAAAAGACCCCGCAAAATCCACACCAATGAACGTAAAGGGCGGAGAATAGGTGCACCGCTCAGGTGGCAAAGCTGCCATTATTTGGGAGCGCATTTGCTGTTTGTGGGCCGTGCAGGGTTTGCATTGAAAGATGCATTTCTTTATGAGAAGCTTGAGCCGGGGGATATAGAATTCCTGTCTGGTAACCTGTTGCATCAAACGTATTTCTGCGTGGAGAAGCAACTCGTGCAAGAGGCGTAGATACAGGGTGGGGAATCGGGATTTCTCGGGAATGATTATGGGATGTCGCTCATTGTAGCTTAAGGTGGCATGAGCTAATCGACCGTTGACACGGAGTAGGTTATGCTTGTCGATGGACGGATTGAGGGTAAGCAAAGGACTTCGCTTATCGATTGGTTTTGAATTTTCTGAGCAGGCCCTTTCGCAAGGAAAATGTCGAGTCTGTGTCAAAGCGATAAGTCGGTATTTCGCAGTATGGAGTTCATCGTGGGTGAGGGACACAGGGTGAACAGTATGAACTCCTTCTACTCAACGTTGCAGGGTGTTTATAAGTCGGAAGACGTACGCCATTACCCTGAGGGCGCGCGGAAGTGAGGAGAACCGGTCTAAAATGTCAGGCCCTTCTTCAGCGGCATGGAGTGCCTCCATTCGTCGAGTTTCTGGGGCGTTGATATCTCGCGTTGACGATTTTGGCCAGGCTTTGGTGGGGCTTGATAGCCATTCCGGACCATTCCACCAGAGGGAGGAAGCTGCTAAATCTAGGGGCTTGCATCCTCTGGTTCCCATATCAGCTGGATTGTCCTTGCTGCGCACGTGTCGCCAGGTGGCTTTCCAACTAGGTCTATGATTTGCGCAGTGCGGTTGGAAACAAATGTTTTCCACGTATGGGGTGGTTTTTCTAGCCATACTAGAACGATTTCGGAATCCGACCACATGATAAGCCTTTTTGTGGAGAGATTAAGACGGGTTTGGACGACCGCGACGAGTTTGGCTAGTAGGAGAGCTCCACACAATTCAAGACGGGGTAGGCTGATGGTTCGTAGGGGTGCCACTTTGCTTTTAGCTACCAAAAGACGAGAGGTCACTTGGGTGTCATGGGTATTACGAACGTATAGGGTGGCGCAATATGCCTTTTCCGAGGCATCGCAGAAGCCGTGGAGTTCAAGATTACCCATCGAGGTATTTGGATGTTTGAGATGGATTGTAAATTATTGGCGAACTGTGTCCACTTTGTCAGACGGAGGGGTTTGACCTGCTCGTCCCAGTCAGTCCCGTCAAGCCATAGCTCTTGTAAGAGAATCTTGGCTTGCATCATTATCGGCGTAAGCCATCCTGCGGGGTCGAAAAGTTGCGCCACAGATGATAGGATTTGCCGTTTTGTGTTCGCGGATGATGCTGGGATGGGATCAACTGTATAAGAAAAGGAGTCAGTGAGCGCGTTCCACTGAATCCCCAGAGCCTTCGTAGTGCTTGCCTTTTCAAACTCGAGGAAGTTGGTGTCCAGCAAATCTTCCTTACTTATGTCTTTCAGAATATAAGGATGGTTGGCAGTGATTTTTTTCAAGGGAAAACCGGCTGATTTTAGGGCTTGGATGACTTGGGTAAGAGCCTGGGTAGCAGTGAGCAGGTCATGACTGCCAGATAGGATGTCATCCACATAGGTTTCTTTGGTTAATATGGGCCCAGCCAAGGGGTGGGTAATTTTTACGTCTTGTGCTAATTGGTGGAGAGTGCGTATGGCTAGATAGGGAGCACAATTAACGCCGAATGTGACGGTTTTCAGTTTATAGTCTTGTATTGGACTTCCTGTGGATACACGAAAGATAAGTCTTTGACAGTCTTGGTCTTCTTCGTGTAAGAGCATTTGGCGATACATTTTCTCCACATCACCATTGAAGACATATTGGTAAGTGCGCGATTTTAGAACCAGTAGCATCAAATCGGGTTGTAGGGTCGGCCCGGTATGCAGAATATCATTAAGCGAGTTGCCAGTGCCCGATTTCCTTGATGCATTGAAGACAACTCTTACTTTCGTCGTTCTTTTTTCAGGCTTTATGACTGCATGATGGGGAAGATAAAAGGAGAAGTATTTTCCCTGTGAGGTTATCTCATACGAACTCGACGGTATTCCTCCAAAACACTGTCATAAAGGTGTTTTAGATCGCCTTTCTTATCCATACTGAGGAATTGTTGCAATGCTGCGGTACGAGAATATCCTGAGGCGATTTTGTCAGGAAAGCGTGACTTAAATGGGAGTCGGACTATATAACGCCCTTCAGTGGTGCGGGTCGTTGTTGATTTATAAAAATCTTCACATATCTCGTCTTCCGGGGTGATGTCTTCATATTTTGGAACTTCTTCTAAATTCCAAAATTTTTTGAGTTGCATATTCAAATGCTCATTTGTGGCATCTTCTACCTGAGTCGAGAAAGTTGCAACTCTTTCTGGGATCTGGCCGCTCAAGATCCAACCGATAATGGTGTTCTGGGCAAGTAAGTTGCGAGAGATTCTTTCAAGACCATCAAGCATAATTTGGGGAAGCATATCGCTGCCTATAACCAGGTCGATTTGGGAAGGAGAATGGCAGTTAAGATCTGCTAAATCAAGATGGGGCCATTTCTTCTTTCGCTCAGAATTTGTAGGGAATTTTGGAAGCAACTTCGTTAATTGTGGCAGTACTATCGCTTGCGCTGGAATTTCGCGCTTTAGATCAGAGCTGACTAAGACCAAGGAGCATAATTTGTTTGAGGTCTGGACAATTTTTCCGCCCATGCCAGAGATCTCTAAACTCGAAGCTTGGCAAGGTAGCCTTAGTCTAGACTGGGCTTTCGATGAGATAAAAGTGCGTTGGGAGCCCTGATCAATGAGTGCTCTCAGTTTGAAGAGCTCACCTCTATGTTTTACATGGACTATCGCAGTTGGGAGGAGTACTTGGTTTTCATTTTCTGTATAAAGGGATTGTACTTGATTGGAACATTGGGGGAGCTCGTCTTGGGTTTCCGAACGGTCCGGCGTTTTCAGGTTAGCAGAAGCTGTTGCAACCTGAGAACTGGTTCTCCGGGATTGTGGTTGACGCTGGTTAGGCGTGGAGGTTACGTCCTTGTGGAGAGTTGTGTCATGCCTTCTTTGACATTTATAACACGTCCGATCAGATGGGCAGTCTTGGAGGGTATGCGTGGAGGGCAGCCAGTTGGTGCATAAGTTATGTTCCATCACTAGTTTTTCGCGCTCGTTTATGGAGAGTTCTTTTATATTTGAGACACTGACTGAGGGAATGCGTTTGTTGTTTGCAGATAACGCAAGCGAACTTTTTCCTTTTTTCTGTCATGTGTGACTGGACCAGAGAAAATGATGTATTTTG